GAGGGTGAGGTAGGTTTTCGAAGACTTCGGGATGTCTACAGAGCCTTTTCATGTAAGTTGTGGTGGGGGTTTCGGACTGGAGCTTCACTTTGGGCGTCTTATATGCAAGCTAAGTACTGTAGGGAGCAGCATCCTTGTCAAGTGCCTCTCAGAGTATCTGCTACGGCTACTTGGAGACGAATATGGTATGTTAGTCAGTTGGTGGAGCTATCAATGTTATGGCATATTAATGGGGGCGCCTGTCACTTTTGGTACGACAATTGGGTAGGCAGTGGTGCTTTATCTCTCAGCTCGACAGTCATCCCCGATCTCTCCTTTGGGGACTTTATCACAAATGGAACATGGGATGCCCAGTTGCTATCACGGGCCCTACCACCAGGGATCATCCCCTTAATCTTACAACATCCCATACCTGAAGGTGGTCGCGTAGCTGAGCCTGTGTGGATGCCATCAACATCTGGGAAATTCACGCTAGCATCGGCTTTTGGGGAGGTTTGTCAAGCCTGCAACACTTCTGCGGTTCTATCACACGTTTGGCATCATCGAATACCGTTGAAGGTATCTTTCTTCATGTTATGCTTATTGAGGGGAAGGTTGCCAGTAGCGGATGCCCTCTGCCAGCTAGGTTTTCAAATGCCGTTGAAGTGTCTTTGTTGTTGGAGCCTATCTTGCGAATCTATTGAGTATGTGTTTGCAACGGGACAGATTGCCATGGAAATCTGGGGATATTTTGGGGGTGTGTGTGGCGTGGCTAGTACAGGATCCTTACTGCAAGCTCGGATGGCGGCATGGTGGTTTGTGGAGCAGCGATCGGAAAGGAGGCACTTCTTGTTCAAAATTCTTCCTAGTCTCATCTGCTGGCATATCTGGAAGGCTAGGAATAGAGCCGTTTTTGAAGATAAACCCTTGCAGTCGGCAGATATTGTTCGGGCCATATTCAAAGAGGTGAAGATGCTGGTGGAGATTCAGTTTAAGGGCAATGTTGGGGTTAATACGTTTCTTCAGTTGTATGAATGGTCCTCTCACCCAGCGCGCACGTTTGGCTTCCAATTGATACGTTGGGCAGTTCCAGAGGTCGGGAGGCTAATGCTGAATACGGACGGGTGCTCAAAAGGTAACCCGGGTCTGGGCGGTAGTGGTGGTGTCCTACAGGATTCGTCAGGAAGCCCTCTATTTGCTTTCTCAGCCTTTCTAGGGGTTACCTCTAGTTTACAGGCGGAGACTATAGCCCTGTTGATTGGGCTTTGCGAGTGTGGTCAGAAGGGGTTTGGTAATGTGGGCATCCAGCTAGACTCCTTGCTCTTGGTGGGGATTCTGCGGAAGCAATTTCAGTGTCCTTGGCATGTCCGGCGGGAGGTGGGGCAGATTTGGCAGTTGCTGGGTGAATCCCCGCGGATAATTCATTGTTACAGGGAGGCGAACAATGTTGCTGATATTCTATCTAATGTGGGAGTAGCTCACCCTGAGCATAAGGTTAGAGTTTATGACCACATCCGACTGATTCCATAGATGGCTCGTGGTGCAATCCGGCTAGATAAACTAGGATTGCCTTCAATTAGGAAGTTCAGGATGTGATAGGGTTTGGGTTTGCGTAATTTCTGCTACTATTGTAAATTTTGGTTCGAATAAATAATATTGCTACATTTATTTTAAAAAAAAGTCATGCTATTTTTAGAAAACATAATAAGCAAAGTGGTCATATATAATTCATGAAGTAATCCTTTTAGCATTGATGGTGTAAAGATTAGTTTACGCTAACAGGTTTGAACACGCAACACATATGGAAAAAATAGAATTCTACATTTAAATGGAGGTCATCTATCACATATCCAAACCTAAACTCTGACAATGGAATAAGTACTATATGTAAGATTAATCCTTCACGTATTCTAGATATGCCAAAGTACCGTTCTGTTTTTGTTTTTATTAAGGACCACATCTCTATCTGTTGATAGAGCAGTTATTTGGCACATTTTACAGTGTTATTTTGACCTAATTTCGGCTATTTACTGTGCTAAGTACTGAGGTTTAACTCATATCTCACATTCGTATGTATTATAGGTGATCGGCATTAAAAAGGATCTCGCGGGTAAATTTTCAGAAGACTTTTCGCCTCAGGGCATGGCCACGCCTTAGAAGGTGGACGAAACCGAAAGCCGGATTGCGGTCCACGTGAACCGCGAGAAGCACAGGATTAAAACTCCAAAGGCTTCAATTAAAAGCAAAGAAAGGGCCAGGCGTTCTTGGGCTTCTGCTTGACTTTCTTGGGCGGCGGCTATAAAGAGAGAAAAAAAGCAAGATTCAAGGGATCATCTACTTTTAGGCTTAGTTTTCTTTTCCTACGTTTGTCAGCGGTCAGACGCTTTTTCTCTTCTTTCGCTTTCCGTCAGCCGCAATTGGATTTGAGCTTTAAGTTTCCTTTTGTTCTCTTTCGGGAAAAACGTAATTTTTTCTCCTTTAGCTTTTGTCTTGTACGGATTTGACTGCTGGGTTGTAACCCTTGTTTTGAGACAATTCGCGTTGGCTTTTTGCTTTGCGATTGCGGTCCTAGAACGAATGCAAAAGCAGGGTCTTCTTCGTTGTTGCCGCAATTAACTTCCTTTCCCCAATTCTTCGGCGAATAATTGAATGAATTCAATTAAATCACGCGGGATTGACACGATGAGGAGCGGCTAATTTCCTCCTCTCCCCAAAGGTTGACGCGAAGGCGCGGTCCATAATATCTGTGAGATCTAACCGAATCTTCATTATTTCCTCCAATTAATTGCTATTCGTGCGTTTCCTGAATTAATTGTTCATGGGTATTTTATTAATTGAATATCAACGGCCGGGTATTTGATTTAATTTAATAGCCTACTGCCACGTTAATTAAATAGAATCCGTAATTGTTCATTTAGTTAACACCCCGTGGCAACCACCATAATTGGTTTTATGATGGGGAAACGCAGGATCTAATTTAAATAAACCCTCTTAGCGTTTTTATTGGTTAGGGTTGGGTTCTTCTAGCTTTAATGCAATTGGATAATTAAATTCCTGTGGTCGTACCTAGGGTTGTTATCTGGTTAGGGAAGCAGTCAATGGTCGTACCTTGACTGTCGAAAAGGTAAGGAAGAACTGGTTGTCAGAGGTTATTGATAACTATAACCAACCTAGTGATGAATGGGTGAAATATCTTTGCATCGATGATCATTTAATTGGACCGTGCCTGAGCAGTTGATCCTTTGGGTAGAACTTTTATTAATTGCTATTTCTAGTGAATTGTGCTTTGTGAGTTATTTTTGGATTTTGTTTGTTTTATTTTATTTTATTTTTATTTGCCTCCCATTGAAAATTCCCCAATTTCGTTCTACTAATTTGAAAAGCAATAATTTCCTACCTGCTCCCTGTGAAATCGACCCTACTTGCCATTGTACGCAAAATTAGTATTTTTATAGATAAATCCGGTATATCGGATCAAGCAAACTCTTCGGGAACAGGGTGAATCAAGTAACCCATTGCACACCTAGGGTCCCTGCTCCAATACTTGGATTTGTTCTATAATTATCTAATTGAGGTGGTAATTAGGACTCTTTAGTAATTATTATTGCACAGGTTCGGCACCTGTCAATTTTTGGCGCCGTTGCCGGGGAGCTGGGGATTATTTGTTTTTTCTTTTCAAATTCAGTTTTTATTTTATTTTTATTTTATTCTATCCTTCTTGGTATTTTTGGTAGTTTATGCCCCATTCTTCTCGCACAGGTGAATTAGTATACGATCCTGAGGTTGAGAAGGCAGCGCGTAGGTGGAGGCAAGAGACCAAGAGGCAAAAAGAAGGGCACTTATTTGCTGCAAACGAGTCAGCGGAAAACGAAGTAAGCATGGCCAACACCCAAACATTGAGAGAGTTGGCTGCTCCGGAGCTGACTCACCAGCCCTTATGCATCACATTCCCCGCCTTGGTTGAGAATACTACTTTCAAACTGAAGTCGGGGTTTATTCAACTCTTATCTTCTTTCCATGGTCTCTCAGGCGAAGAACCCCACAAGCACGTAAAGGAGTTCGAGGTGGTTTGCTCTAGTATGAAACCTCCTGGGGTCACTGAAGAGCAAATTAGACTGAGAGCCTTCCCATTCTCTCTCAAGAATGCAGCTAAAGATTGGCTGTACTACCTTCCAGCAGGTAGTATTACCACATGGGCGCAGTTGAAAAAGAAGTTTTTAAAAAAATTCTTCCCTACATCCCGGGTTGCGAGTTTGAGGAAGGAAATCTGCAGCATCAAACAGTATCCCGGGGAGTCTTTGTATGACTATTGGGAAAGGTTTAACAAGTTGTGCACTAGATGCCCGCAGCATCAAATTAGTGAACAACTGTTAATCCAATATTTCTATGAAGGACTCCAGTCAACTGATAGGAGTATCATCGACGCTGCGAGTGGGGGAGCACTGGCAAATAAGACCCCGAGGGAAGCATGGCTGCTCATTGAAGCTATGGCAGAAAATTCTCAACAGTTTGGCTTCCGTGAGAGTAACCCTACCCACAGGGTTAATGAAGTGGAGACGTTATCCCTTCAGCAGCAGATATCGGAGCTAACATCCGTTGTTCGACAATTAGTGGTGGGAAATGTGCCCCAAGTAAAGGCCTGTGAAATCTGCACAAATATGGGCCACCATACTGACTCATGCCCTATATTGCAAGAGGATGGGGTTGAGCAAGTGAACATGGCTGGAGGCGTGCCCGCGCCTCATAGGCAGTACAATCCATACTCCAACACGTACAATTCGGGTTGGAGAGATCACCCCAATTTCAGCTATGGAAATATGCCATAAAATGCATTCTCCAATCGTCCACCAGGATTTCAGCAACCATAGCAACCGAAACCGCAACCCTCATCCTCCAACACAGGGAGTTCCTTGGAGGATATTGTCAAGAGTCTAGCCACGACTACCGCCTAGCTCCAGCAGGAGACCAGGTCATTGACCACAAATATGGCTCAACTCCACCAATAAACTAGAGCTTTAACCATGAGCACCAATCAGTTCCAGCAGGACACAAAATCAGGCTTGAAGGATATGGAGGCTCGAATAAGCCAGATGGCAACTGCCATCAATCGCTTGGAATCCCACGCTTATGGAAAGTTACCTTCACAATTCGAAATAAATCCCAAGAATGTAAGTGCCATGACCCTGAGGAGTGGCAAGACACTGGAAGGGCCTAAAGAGAGAAATTCAAAAGGCAAGAGTGAGGAGGAGATAGAGAAGGAAATTGAGGAGGAAGGACGTATTCGTGAGGATCCTAAGGTAATCCCCATCTCTCCACCCACTACTAACTCTAACTTACCCCCTTTTCCTTGCAGGTTGGAAAAGACAAAAAGGGTAAAGAAGGAAAAAGAGCTTTTAGATGTGTTCCGAAAAGTGGAAATTAACATCCCTTTACTGGACGCAATCAAGCACATACCGAAATATGCTAAATTTCTCAAGGATCTATGCACCCATAAGAGGAAACTGAGAGGGGACGAAAGAGTAGCGGTGGGAGAGAATGTGTCAGCAATGCTCCAAAGAAAGCTTCCACCCAAGTGTGGAGATCCAGGTATGTTCACGATCCCCTGTAAGATAGGGAATACACCGATCAGGAAAGCAATGTTAGATTTAGGGGCGTCAATCAATGTGATGCCAAAGACCATTTTTGCTTCTTTAAATCTTGGGCCACTTAAAGAAACAGCCATCATAATCCAACTAGCCAATCGCACAAATGCATACCCAGAGGGGCTAGTTGAGGATGTCTTGGTTCAAGTAAATGAATTGGTCTTTCCTGCAGATTTTTATATCTTGGACATGGGAGATGAAAAATCATTAAACCCGTCACCTATCTTGTTAGGTAGACCATTTCTTAGCACTGCCAGGACTAAAATAGATGTGAATGAGGGTACTTTGTCAATGAAAATTGATGGTGAAACTGTGAATTTCAATATTTTTGAGGTGATGAAATATCCAGAAGAATCTAACTCAGTCTTTGCTTTGAGCGTTATTGAGCCTTTTGTGCAGAACATTTTCGAATTAGATGGCAAAGACGCTTTGGAAGTGGCTCTAATCAAGCATCTGGAGTTGGGTGTAACTCCTAATGTGGACCTAAGGGGAGATTTGGTCCATGCTGTTGAAACCTTACACTCACTTCCACCCGTATCCCCAAGGTATGAACTTACTTCTCTTTTTGTGCCAGAGGCTTAGACAAAGTTGCTCCCTTCAGTTGTGCAGGCACCGGAGTTGGAACTAAAACCTTTCCCGAAGCATCTAAAGTACGCATTCCTAGGAGATCGGAAGACACTTCCGATGATCATCTCTGCACACCTATCTCCAAGTCAGGAGGACAAACTGGTGCGAATCCTTAGGGAGCATAAGGAAGCAATTGGATGGAGCATAGCCGATATTAAAGGGATTAGCCCGTCCTTGTGTATGCACCAGATAAGACTCGAGAATGATGCAAAGCCGGTGAGGCAAGCACAGCGAAGATTGAACCCTCTGATGATGGAAGTTGTAAAAAAGGAGATACTCAAGCTTCTGGAGGTAGGGATCATTTTCGCTATTTCGGATAGTCCGTGAGTGAGTCCTGTCCAAGTGGTCCCGAAGAAGGCGGGAGTGACCGTGGAGGAGAACCAGGAGGGTGATATGGTCCCGGTCAGGAAAGCTACTGGCTGGCGTCAGTGCATCGACTACCGGAGGCTAAACTCCGTGACTAAAAAGGACCACTTCCCCCTCCCTTTTATTGATCAGATGGTAGAACGATTGGCAGGTCATATTTACTATTGCTTCTTGGATGGCTTTTCAGGTTACTTTCAGATTGCGATCGCACCAGAAGACCAAAAAAAGACTACCTTCACATGCCCATTTGGCACGTTTGCCTACCGCCGGATGCCTTTCGGCCTCTGCAATGCTCCAGCAACCTTTCAACGGTGTATGATAAGTATTTTCTCTGAGTATGTGGAAAAGATAATCGAGATGTTCATGGATGATTTTAGTGTCTACGGGGACAGTTTTGATGAATGTCTTGAGAATCTAGCTTTAATTCTCAAAAGATGTATAGAGACGAATTTGGTGCTTAATTGGGAAAAGTGTCACTTTATGGTAGATCATGGCATTGTTCTAGGGCACGTCGTATCGGCTAAGGGAATAGAGGTAGATAAAGCTAAAATAGACCTTATTTCTGCTCTACCTTACCCCGTATGTGTACGGGAAGTGCGTTCGTTTTTGGGCCATGCAGGCTTTTACAGGAGATTTATCAAAGACTTTTCAAAGATAGGAGCACCCATGTTCAAGTTACTGCAGAAGGACGTGCCATTTGATTTCACAAATGAATGCAAGGTGGCTTTTGATAAACTGAAGGAATCATTGACATCGCCGCCTGTCATTCAACCCCCAGATTGGAGCCTTCCGTTTGAAATCATGTGCGACGCGAGTGACTATACCGTGGGGGTCGTGTTGAGACAAAGAATTGGAAGAGCGCCACACGCGATCTACTACGCGTCGAGAGCCTTAAGTAGAGCCCAACTTAATTACTCCACGACGGAGAAAGAATTACTAGTTGTTGTTTTTGCAATAGAAAAATTTAGGTCATATTTATTGGGTGCAAAAGTAATAGTTTTCTCTGATCATGCAGCTTTGAGGTACTTGCTGGCGAAGAAGGATGCTAAACCAAGGCTGATCAGGTGGATTTTGCTCCTGTAGGAGTTCGACCTAGAAATCAGGGATAAGAGCGGAGCTGAGAATTTGGTGGCTGATCATTTGAGCCGGTTGCTCACAAATCAAGAGGATCTACCGTTAAGAGAATCATTTCCTGAGGAACAATTACTAGCCATTGATTCGTCAATACCTTGGTACGCTGACATTATCAATTTTTTGGTAACAAATCAATTACCTGCAGGGTGGTCAAAAGCTAAAAGAGATAAGTTAAAGAGTGAGGCCAAATATTACCTTTGGGATGACCCCTACCTGTGGAGGCAATGCTCGGACCAAGTAATAAGAAGGTGTGTAAGTGCAGGTGAATTCTAATCTATTTTGATTTTCTGTCATTCATTTGCATGTGGAGGGCGCTTTGGGCCAAGGCGGACAGCTCGTAAAGTGTTAGAAAGTGGTTTTTATTGGTCTACTCTGTTTAGGGATACATATTTGTTTTGCAAATCTTGTGATAAGTGTCAAAGGGTGGGGAATATCTCTCGTAGAGACCAAATGAGTCAAACCCCCATATTATTTGTTGAGATTTTTGATGTCTGGGGTATAGATTTCATGGGTCCCTTCCCCTCGTCTTTTGGTTTCTTGTACATTATACTTGCTGTTGACTATGTTTCCAAATGGGTGGAGGCAAAAGCCACCCGGACTAATGATTCTAGAGTAGTTGCAGATTTTATAAGATCTAACATTTTTGTCCGTTTTGGAATGCCGAGAGCTATAGTGAGTGACAGGGGCACCCATTTCTGCAATAAGACGATCACTACATTGTTTCGTAAGTATGGTGTGCTCCACAAAGTATCCACCTCCTACCATCCACAGACGAATGGTCAGGCCGAAGTGTCAAATAGGGAGGTCAAGTCAATTCTAGAGAAAATGGTGCGGCCTGATAGGAAAGATTGGAGTTTGAAGTTGGAAGATGCTCTATGGGCCTACCGCACCGCAAATAAAACACCGATTGGGATGTCCCCATACAGGTTAGTTTTTGGGAACCCCTGCCACCTTCCGGTGGAATTTGAACACAGAGCATTTTGGGCACTTAAGAGGTGTAATATGGACCTTATGGAGGCCGGAGGAAATAGAAAGCTCTAATTACAAGAGTTGGAGCTGAGGAATGAAGCATATGAGAATACTGCAATATATAAGGAGAAGAGCAAAATTTTTCATGACCAACGCGTTTCGAGAAAGTCATTTGTCGTAGGGCAAAAAGTCCTATTTTATCACTCGAGACTTAAGTTTTTTCCTGGTAAGTTGCGTTCCCGTTGGATTGGTCCATTTGTTGTTACTAATATTTCCCATTATGGTGCAGTGGAAATCCAAAGTCTGAAGACGGAGAAGAACTTCGTGGTAAATGGTCATCGTTTGAAGCCCTATTATGAAGGGTTTAATAGTGAGCAAATGGAAGTTTTATTCCTTGATGATCCAAGTAGAGAGGTTTAATCAATTGAATGCCATGTCTAGCCAAAGACGTTAAAGAAAGGCGCTGCTTGGGAGTCAACCCAAGAATTACAATAGTAGTTGTGATCATTTTTCCTTACTCTGCGATTTTTCAGTTTTATTTTAATGTTTTGATTGTTTTCGTGGTGTTGGACAGAAGAATGGAGGTTACAAGGCGTGCCCGAACTTTGACAAAAATTCGCTTGAGTATCATTAGGATGCGCTGGTCAGAGAACTAGGTCCTTCAAGGTGTGCCCACGCCTTCCAACCTTTCCGATAGCGAAAAAAAAAAACAAAATAATTTTTGACCAAGACCCTACTTTTTCCACTTCTCCTTCGTCTTTGACTGGTCTTGGCCTTTTTCCTCCAAATTTCTTTCGGCTGCACTGCAACAACTTCTCCTTCCTGTTTTGGTCAAACCCGCCGCCGCCGCCGCCTGCGCAGCCCGCCGCCGCCTTCCATCGCTGCCACCTGAGCGCCGCCGCACCCCACCAGATCCGCAGCCCAGCAGCGCGCACAGGCTTTCTCCGCTGCTCACGCCCAGGACGCGCAAGCCCGCACACGCGACAGCTACGCTGCCCCCGCCTCTGCGCTCCACTTGCGCGCTGCCCCTGCCTCAGCAGCATCAGCGAGCAGCATCAGCGGACAGCTTCCTCCAGCGCCAGCCCACCGCGCGCTTCACAGCGCCGCGCCAGTCGCCTCTACTAAATTAGCGCAGCCTGCTCCCGCCGCCGCCCTCGCGGGCCCCTTCTCACCCAGCAGCAGATCTGCGCGACGCAGACCGGCCCACTGCGCGGGCTTTCTTCTCATGCCGCAGCCTAGCTCCGTGCGTCACAGCCGCGCGCGCGACATGCCCTGCGCGACACCAGCCTGCGCAGCCTGTGCGCCCACCACACCTAGCTGACTGCAACCCTTCTCGAGCGTGGTCTTTCCTCACAGCCGCACACCACCAGTTCCCCTTCTTCACCGTGTCTCTCTGCCATTTTTTTTCCTCCAGAGAAGAAGCTATGAAAAGTGGTACCCTTATTTGCCTCTCTTGTTAAACTGGTGACTTCAATTGGGCATTTTAATTGCTGAATTTTTGCCTCCTGTTGGGTTGCTATAATTGTTGGTATTGTCGAGGGACCATTTGGTTGCTGTCTGACAGGGAGAGCTCTCATATCTGCCTTGCAATCATTATCTATTTTGGGACATCTGTGGGCTCTGGTGACCTAGTATTGGGGACACGTGGTAGTAACTCGTCGATTGTTGACTCTTATTGATTGCTATTGTCATTTTTTTTGAGGTGTTGGTGCTGTTTTCTTTACTATTGTCTGCCACCGATAGCGGGAATTTCTTGTGTTTGTTGACTCCTCATCGTCTGGTGGGGTATTTGTGTCCCCCTTTGCTGTTAAGCTGCTGAATATTTAGTAATTCTTGTTGACGGTGGTCCCATATCTGCTTTTGGTGGTTGGTTGACTGTATCTGAGCTAATTTACTCTGTCTGTGGTCCCTAAATACCTCCTAAGAAGGCAACCACTGCTGGGCCATCTGGCTCCCAACCTCGTAAGAGGCGAGCCCCGGTTCAACCCACCATTCGGTCCCGTTTGGGCTTGAATAAAAGCACCATGTCCCCTGGGGAGTGGGGGGAATCGATCACTAATCTTACAGAGGCCCAACAGGACCGGTTTAACACCTTGGTGAATCGACCTTTTGCCCCTTGTAAGTGCTTTCATGCCCCTACCCTAGACCATCTGCGAATTGCACGAGAGGTTGAACAAATGTTCTCGGCAATCGGCTGGCAAAAGTATCTCACCATTCACTACCCCACATTTGAGGAGCTTTGCTGTGAATTCTACTGCTCTTTTGAGTTTATCAGGAATGAATACATTACTTTGGATGTGCCGGAGATTATTCAGTTTAGATTAAAAGGCACACAGTATAGTTTTTCCATCAATGAATTTAATCTGACTTTGGGATTTGTCAGTGAGGATACCATTGCATCCGGAGCGTATATCAACAGTGCTTGTGACTACACCAGACCGTTTAGAACTGAATACATTGACATCTGGAGGGAGTGGTCCACGGATCGGCAAGTTTATAATCCGAGTCAGTCCAAAGCCTCTGAACTGAAGGATCCGGTCTTAAAGGTCATCCACAGGTTCTTGGCTTACAATTTCTCGGGGCGGAAGGATTCCTCCGGCACCCTTACCAAAGCAGAATTCTACTTCCTTTGGTGCATGCGCAACAATGTTAAGGTTAATTTTGGGTGTTGGATAGCCACTCAAATGGAGTCAGTCATTCATAAGTGCAATAAACCGATTATCCTAGGCTCGCTCATTACCCACTTGGCCATCCGATTGGAATTGCTAAACCTCGACAAGGAGCACAACTTCGCCCTAACTCGAGAGATTGAGCCACTAGATTTGCGCTGTTTGGAGTGGATGGGGGTTATTTGCAAA